CATGTCTCTCATGTGTCATATGACCAATATTCGATGGTTTGGAATGCGTTGTAAACTAGTCTATAAATATTTTTAAAAAATCGAATAGTTTCATTTATATTACGCATTTTATTTTGGTTGTATTAATAGATCCGATCAGTACCAGTCCAAGTAAATAAATGAGAATAACAGCAATGATAATGGTGATGTTATGATAATGCTGATGATAACAATAATCGTAACAATACTAATTATAATAAAAAACAATAGTAATATTATTAATGATAATCATCGTCATCATCATTAGCAGTGACAATAATCATAATTCTAAGAGTAATAGTAATGACAATAATACCAATAATAATAATAATAATAATAGTGATAATAATAATAATAATAATAACACCAACAATAATAATAATGATAATGATAATGACTCATATATATAATATAAAGAATTACACTAATAATAGGAATAATAATAATATTAATGATAATGATAATAATAATAATAATAACAATAATAATAATAATAGTGATGATGATGATAATGAAAAAAATAATATTAAAAAAAAGAATAATTATCACATAACAATAATAATGATCAGATTATTATGATCAATAATAATAATCTTCATAATAATAATAATAATAATAATAATAATAAGGATAATAATAGTGATAACAATAATAATAATAATAATAATAAATAATAACAATAATAATAATAATAATAATAGCAATAATAACAGCAATAATAATAATAATAATAACAATAACAATAATAGTGATAATGATGATAAGAATAGTGGTAGTGATGGTGATGATGATGATAACAATAACAATGATAATCATAACAGCAACAACAACATCAACAATAATAATAGTAATAATAATAATAACAATAATAATAATGATAATTATTATTAATTATTATTATAATGATAATAATAATAATAATAAAAATGATGATGATGATGATGGTGATGATGACAATACCAATAATAGTAATGATAATTTTTATTATTGATTGCAGATTTTTTTTTTATAAAACACAAAATATTTCAGTTATACTTAATCTCCTCGTAACGTAAGGTTGATAATTTGCACTTACTTTAACAAAAAAAAAAAAAAAAAAAAGATAATAAAAACACATTACTTATTATATACTTTGTTGAATATATTAATGTTTCAGTTTTATTTAATCTCCTCATAACATTAAACAAATAATTTACACTTACTGTAACAAAAATGAAAATAATAATAAAAAATAATCACTTATTATATATTTTGATCAACATATTAACCATTCATCTTTATTTAATCCCCAAGTAACATAAGATTAATATTTTGTACTTTTTGGACAGAAAATATATATTCTACACTCTGATCACCATAGTAATCTTCCACTTTCATTTAATCCCCACGTAACATAGAATTAAAGATTTTTGGGGAAAAGTAGCCTCTTTGCAAAGATATATATATATATATATATATATATATATATATATATATATATATACATATATATATATGTATATATATATATATATATATATATATATATATATATATATATATACATATATATATATGTATATATATATATATATATATATATATATATATATATATATATATATATATATATATATATACACATATACATATACATATACATATACATATACATATGTATATATATATATATATATATATATATATATATATATATATATATATATATATATATATATATATATATAAATATATATATATATATATAAAATATATATATATATATATATATATATATATATATATATATATATATATGTATATATATATATATATATATATATATATATATATATATATATATATATATATATATATATATACACATATATATATATACATATGTTTATAATTATACATTTGGATCAGTATGTTAATCTTCCATTTTCATTTAATCCCCACGTAACATAAGATTAATAATTTAGGGAAAAAAGTCGCTTCTCTGCACTTACTTTGACCATCGGTGCTTTGGTTCTGCTCAACTTCTGAAAGACAACAGTTAACCTACTTTATAACACTAGACAGGAGGAACAAATGCAAAAATGCGACATGTGAGAGGAGGAGGAGGAAGAGGAGTAGAAAGAGGAAGAGGAAGAGGAGGAGAAAGAGGAGGAGGAAGAAGAGGAGGAGGAGGGAGAAGAGGAAGAGGAAGAGGAGGAGGGGGAAGAGGAGGGGGAGGGAGAGGGGGAAAGGGAGGGGGAGGAGGATGAAGGGGAGGGGACGGGGGAGGGGGAGGAGTTGAAGGAAGGAGAAGACGAAGAGGAGGAGGAGCAGGAGCAAAAGGAGGAGAAGGAGGAGGAGGAAGACGAAGAAGAAATGGAAGAGGAGGAGGAGGAAAAGAAGAAGAAGAAGAGAAGGAAGAAGAAGACGAGGAGGAGGAGGAGGAGGAGGAGGAGGAGGAGGAGGAGAAGAAGGAAGAGGAGAAGGAGGAGGAGAAGAAGAAGAAGAGAAAGAGGGGGGGGAGAGGAGGAGAAGAAGAAAAAAGAAGAAGCAGAAGAAGAAGAAAAGGAAGAGGAGGAGGAGGAGGAAGAGGAAGAAGAGGAGGAGAGAAAGAGAAAAAGTTACAAAGGGTTATTAGGTGGCGTTGGTTATCAGGGAAGAAGAGGAGAGTCAGGAAGAGGAGGTAAAGGAGGAAAAGGAGAATCGAGAAGAGAAAGAGAAAGAGGAAGAGGAGAATCGAGAAGAGAAAGAGAAAGAGGAAATAAAGGAGGAAGGGGAGGTGGGTAATTACAAAAGAAGAACGAAGTGAAGAAGATGGATAAAGCATAGAAGGAAGAAGAGCAAAAGAAGAAACAAAAGGTGACGACTAAAAAAGGAGGAGGAAGAAGAATACGAAAGGACAGAGAATAGAGGGAAGAAGATAAAGAGAGAGAAAAAAACTGAAAAGAGACCACACGGAAAGCCATATCAAACAATAAAGATTAAAAGGAAGAAGAAGAAGAAAATAAAGCTAACAAGAAAAGAAAAGAAGAGAAAAAGGAAAGACGAAGGAATAGTAAATGCAATAACCAATAAACGGTAAATAGGCAACGAGTAATAAAAGTTATTACGAGTTAAGAAGGAGAAGAGAACAACAGAACAAACATTATTTACACAGGGAAGGAGACATACACAACAAACAAGGTATATTCAAAAACAACAATTACAATAGAAGACAGCGGAAAAAATATATTACAGACAGAAAAGGTAATTAATATTAGGCAATATTTTCTACGATGACATGACAACAAGATGCAAAGAGGTAAAGAGTTAATTATCAACTTTTATCATGAGTCTAATTACATTATAGACACGTAAACACAATCCCTGGAAACTAAATGAGGGAGAACTAGAACATGCATGTTTATTAAACCAAAAAAAAAAAAGAAATGGTTTAGGAAAGTGTATGTCAAGGTTTATAAAGGAAACCATATTTACATGAATAGTTATTATTATTTTCATTATCATTCAGTATAGTGTTACACATTATGCTACTTTTTTTACGAATCTACATCGTGTCTAAATTTATTCTGACGTTTGCTAAATACTTCTAAAAATCTGGTGGATGTAACGATATTGATTCACGAAATAATACACTTAAATGTTGCGAAAATATGAGAAAAAATAATATAAAGATGTTACAGTGTATTCCGATATCAAAGTCGTATCTGATTTTACTGATGATTATCACGAATTCGTATCGCTTACATTATCATCCCATGTGCATTCTTAAAGCTGTTTGTTGCATTTTATTACTTTTTATTGCCTCTTCTAAGTTTGCTACATGTGACTTCAGGAAACAGAATGTATATATACTGCGCGTGTATGTGAACATGAATATGTATATGTATGTATATATATATATATATATATATATATATATATATATATATATATATATATATATATATATATATATATATATATATATTGTATATACGCACACACGTGTGTATGTGCGTACACGCAATACCGCCGGGCCTTCCTAGACACTTCACCAACGGGCGTCCTGCCCCGACAGCGCTATCGCCGCCTTATCTCTGTCACCGAGCCTGTGGGTCGGGGCATTACAGGGAGCGAAGGAGGCCGATAACCGTGCTTGAGGCATCAGATAATTGGCCCTTGAGGCTTCGAGAACTACTTGAGGACCTTGCAGAACGCCTCCGATATTTCTTTCCTTTCAGTTTATCAGAAATGGTGGGAAAATGTATGACATTTCTGAAGATGTATTAGAGGATGTTAGGGCGACTTCCTTATATTTATTATTCTATTTAATTTATTAAATTTTGTTTGATTTATTATAAAAAACTCAGTCTTCCTCTGGCATGGTATACCCGGACGTCAGTCACTTCTTTGTCTTGATTCCGATTTTTAGTTGTATTTGTAATAACACGGTATAATAGTCACTAAAACACATAACGAACAACACATTTAAAAACCTATATTACTACCGCTGTTATCATAAAAAATCCTACAATAATAAAAACATCCGAAAACTTCCAGAAAAAATTACCTCATTAACCTAATCCGAATCAACACCCCCATTAAAGCACACCGTCTAATCTCCTCCCAATCTATCGCGGTATCCCCCCCCCCCTCCGATAGACGCGCTGGCGACGAGTCCGTTTGGGGAGATAACAGCGCCATGCCACACATCACACGTAAACAATGGCCGGGTTCTGACAGCCACCGCGGGCCCATCAGCTCTCGCCTCAACTAAGGGACTGGACGATTTATTTAGGTTCTGATAGGCCATAATGTCGGGTGCATCAGTGTCCGGCGCGGCTGAGATCGTATCTTATCTGACGCGTCCTTACCTTCATGCCTGACGCGGCGGCGATGGGGTCTTCGGAAGGTGGGCTCTGACACTTGGCTGACGTCGACGTCTGTGGCCCACTCATGTGAGAATTATAATCACCTCTTCCCGCTCTTTCTTTTCTTTTTTTCCCTCTCTCTTTTTCTAA